TTTTTAATACATTGCATACTTTCATAACACGCCACATCACACTTTATGCTATGTGCAACCACAATGTACTCACTGGAACACACGCAGTAATATGCAATTTAATAGGAAATTAAGGATCGAAATGACATTACTGCCTCATCATACTGCTATATTATCTCGTCATCTCTCATAAATTAGCAAAATCTTGGAGGACGGCTCACTCCTTACACTTGGGTGTCGCTTTTTGTGAAGAGTTTCTCAGTTTTGTAGTGGCTCAGCTCACTCAGATTTCTTCAAAGATTAAAGGAGGCGTACTCCTCGGTCTTAACACACGTGCCCGGTGTACTTGTGCAACTGACACGGCCCATAGTCCAGTTCATTCGGCAAGGTCTACTACTACCCCTTCCTCCTGTCCACCGCCAATCCGGGTGCTAGACGTTTGGTTGCTTTGGAGTGCCTTACTTTACATGCGAAGTAGAGAGCGGTGAAAGCTATAAGCTGCATCTGCGTTCGCGTTACCTTTCTGTCTGTGGTATGACGCTACAAATACAGTAGGGACATGATAGTCCATGGTCGAGATGTAGGCATGCTTATCGTAATGATGGTGTTAGCATCATTGTCGTGACCCACACGCCAGCGCGCTTGATTAATGTGTAACAAGAGAGGAGATCCAGAGTATCTCACCGCCGAAATCGGGAAAAAAACAGAGAAGTAGTCTAGTGCACTGAAATCCATTCAATCCAGATCCGTCTGCTTCATCAGCCACACTGCCACAATGACCTAAACTAATGCGACTGAGATGACATTGCCGAACTTTTAACCATCGAACCGAGTTGGCAGGTGGTATGTTGTTTATATTCAGAGTTATGCAATAATTTGTAAGATTCGATCACAAGGCACCAGGCACCTCAACTTATTACTTGTTCTCGTAGAGAATCCTTTTAGATGAGTGGTTACAACAACTAATGCTGCTTCCGCCGGCAGCACCCGTGCGTCAACAAACAAGCAGTCAGCATTTTTGCCCTTAAGTCATGCTTTTGCTCCTCCATTGCTCTCCACTGTGTCTCCATACGACTGTCCTGATGAGAGGAGATTTAAAAGGGCGTTACAACGTAATGGATGTAGGAGCTGCCTGTCTACCCTCAGACTTCAAGAGAGAGTTGGTTGCAGATGACTTATTAGGCACCTATAAAAGTCAACTTAAACAAACTAGTAAATATTACAGTGGAGGTCAGTGTTTTGCACTAAGGTTTACCTTCGATAGCATGCATTAGGTATTGCTACCCACTCGCAGCACGCATACACAAACATCCTACTTATATTGAAATAACCTACAATCAAATTCCTTCTTACTTTGACAAGGCGGTACTAAAATGTTGTATATTTGCAGATACGTTTTGCTACTCTTGCGTTTTGCCTCAAAGCTGACCGGCCGGTCTCTTTTAGGTTAAATTTTTAATACCTATAATGGTGGCAAGTGGAGTATCAGGTACGGTCTTGCTGCTGGGGTGTTGGGGCTTGAACGTGTAAATGACCTTCGGGTTCATTTCTGTGATGACTGGTTTTTTCGCGTGCTGTACGCGATGGGTGCACCTAACAGCCTGACCCGTCTGACGCGCGTTCCGTATTGTCTGTCAAATATGCCTGCAGGGCGTAGTGGCGTGTCCGTTTGTACGCGTCATAGAATGTTGTCGAGTGCTTCGTGTGAGATGTGGCAGTGTCGTCCTCGTAGGGTCGCTCGGTCCGTCCCTACTGCTACCAAGTAGTACCTACCAGTGGTGTCAGTGATGTGGTCAGCTCTTTTCCGCACTTTTGCGATGTTTGTGTTCAGGCAAGACCAAATCCGCAAAAACAACTCTCTTGTCCCTCAATGCTCTTATCCATTAAGCTAGACGCACTTAGATATTGCTACAAACCAAGAGGCTAGCATTGGTAAGCTTTCCTTACGCTCAGGCAACTCCACACACAGTTCCCTGCCGGATGAAATCCAAGGCGACACAGGCACAAGGTCCCACCGTATTTCGATTATGCACATATCCACTTCGCATTGGCTAGTATTCAACCTATGATGGCGGAGATACCAGAGACCGACGGACGCCCCACGACCCAGTCGACAGCTGCACTTCAACTCTGTTTCTTTCCCCATCGAACATTAAGAAGACAAGACTTGGGTAGAGAGATTTACGGGTACTTACACATCACACAACCGCGTCTATATACAGGCTGAGAGAAGAGGGAAGGGAGGCGAGAGGATACTCGGCTAAGTCTCGTCATCAGAGTCCACAACAGTGGGTTTGTTGAGACCAGCAGCTTTGCGCGCCAGGAAGCGTTGATGAGCGGCCTCCACCTCCTTCTCTGTAGTTTTGCGCGGCTTCGCGTGGATAAAACCTGGTGGTGGAGGCGGTAGCTTCGAAGTTGGTAGTCCAGCAGACGTCCGCCATCCCCCTCCTTCCTTCTTCACTGATGATGCCTCAGTTGAACTCCTGTCTCTTTCTCCCCTTCTACTGTCCTCCTGACGCCTCCCAACATCATGATGATGTGAATGATGGGACCGACTTCAGCAGTAAGAGACACACCGATCAGCAGATTCAAACAACACAAGTGCTTTGTTCACCACCGAAGTATATAACAATACTTTGGACGTTTCACCAACAAACTCAATTTAGCACTACTGCATTCCACACTACTTGTAGAGGTGCTCGCGTAACTCTGACTTATTCCACAATTAGCTAACACATACACCACAACGTATAGCGTACTGGTGGAAACACCCAATTTACTGGGTGATGCACCACCAAAGTTCCCACAAAATCCCACCACTCATCGGAGCTCCACTTCCCGCCATAGTAGATTGGTAGTTTACTGAAACGTTTCGGCGCAAGACTACAATGCGCGATAGGAATGTGAGTCCAATGCGTACAAATAGGTCTACGTAATGGCAACCACACAACGCCGAAATTGAAGCATAATGAATACCTGTTGGAGCGACGACGCTGATCTCGATGAGAAGTTCGTTCTTTGCTACTACTACGCCTATAACGGTGGCTGTGACGTTGGGAGGACGAGGGGGAGTACCCATTACCCCCACGTTCCCTGTGCTCGTTTTGTCGTGGCTAAAAGGTAGGCATGCAAATGGAGTCCAGAACGGAAATGTGAGTGCATAAGGGATGGGAAAAGATAGGCAAACAAACCTTATCGTCTCCTCTGCGTCGCGGTGGAGGACTTCGACTGCGAGTTGTTGGACTTTTCACTTTAGCATCCTATAGATATCAAGGACGAAGGAAAACAGACTAGAGTGAGAAGTTCGAATGAAGTAGTACTGAAGCAGACTCCATATTAATCAAGATCTTGAGAGCAAGATTTCAGTTAATGATTCTCATTCCAAAGGCCGGCTACTTATGATTTGTTTGAATTATAAGACGACAGAACTTGCCTGGCGTGCTTGCATAGAATTACATACTTTCCTTTTCCACTACGAACCGAAGCATAAACCAGCACTGGTGACCAAAGGACAAAAAGATCAAGGGAAACAAGATTAGGCAGTGGAATACAGAACATCCTTAAATGCCCCGCATGATACATTAACCGCAGCTACGATCAAGAGCCCACAAATAGTTGCAAATGGCTCACACCACGCCTTCCTAACACCAATTTTCCACATCTTGCCGTCCGATAACGACGTGAGGAATGGATCGAAGAAGAACAGCAATTCGTCCACCCTAGAGTCTGCTGTCAGATTGCACGGACAAGTATTGATCACATTAGTATCGCATTAAGTGACTAGGTCACACTCTTATCTAGTTTGGGTCTCTGAAAGTGAACTAGCTATTCGCTCTGCAGTCCACCGCACAAATAGACGCAGGAAGACATGAAATAATAGGCCCTAACCGGAGTAGTGCCTTTGAACCCTGGAATGAAAAACAGACACAAAGCCTAGCAATAGCACCGTACACACCTCCTCATTCTTCAAAACTATCTTTGGTGTTAAGGCTCTATGCCTTGAAACGGATTCAGTTGCAAAGGTGTAGCACTTTACTAGTTTATTCTGCTGAATAGGACACATTAAAAGACGTCTAAGACGTCGTAAAGAATCTTGGTTTTGAGAATAGGACATTTCAGTATTGACATCCTGAGGAAGAGGGAAGGAGAATAATCTACTTACTTTGCGGAGAAGCCTCATGAATGACGTGTACCTATATTAGGCAGCAAGGATTCAATGAAAATGAAAAGGCTGTTACTGATTCTTAATAAGGTCTACCTTGTCCGTACTACCGGTTTGTAGTTTCGTAGCCTCGAAAGCAGTAGATGTTGGAGAATGCGTACGTTGAGAAGCTGTCTTCTGTTGGAACATGTAGCGGTAAAATCCACCCAAACCATCCTGCTTGGTCACATCCATCACTTCCTCCCTGGCCTCTTCCTCGCGACGTCGCTCAACCAGCTCCCGCAGTTCAACCATCTTTTTCTATTAAGGATAAAGTAGACAAATGTTATTCCGTTTTCAATTTCTTGTATCAAAAACATATTAGCCTGCCTTATAGGCTCCTGTAACAAAAGACTCCTTGTCCTTGTACTTCTCCTGCTCCGCCTCTAGCTCACGTTGAGCTTTGCGCTCAGTGAGGAGCTCTTTCTCCAACTTCCGTACTGCTGAAGCTTGCAACAATTTGTCCACGTACTTGGACTACAGAGAAAGAGAAGGGTGTTACGTTTATGATCCATTTCA